AATTTATATTCTTCGAATATAAATTCTGATCCATAAATTTCTGTTACTATTTTATAAACCATTGATAAATATATTTATTCTTTGTTTTAATTTCTTAAATTGACCTTTAAAATTTAATCATTAATCAATATTTAAATCCCGTGATTCTAAATTCTTAAGTCTTTTAATTAGTTTTTAGTATTTAACTTAATATTTCTTTTATTTTTCTTCTATTATCCTCTTTAATTTGTAAACCAAAGTAACTGTTTACAAGTTACTAGTTGTAAATTACCTTTTGGAAAATAAAATTAGCTCAAAAGGTTGACCAGTAATAATTTGATACCTTTTAGTAGAAACAAATCAAAATTTTTATAATTGTCCTATTCCTTATTTTGATAATTCCAATATAGTATTCTATAATTTATCCCCTTTTAGTCAGTTACCTTTTAATGCAAAGATCTTAGTTAGTTAGTTATAATCTTAGTTAATCATTTTTTTACCCTTTTTAACATTAGTAATTTATTTCTATGATTAACACTAAGTAAGTTAAAGAGCTTGACAAAATTATCAAAGAAATAGCTAAACTTTATTAACAAAAGATAAAAGCAATAGTTAATTAAAATACCTGAAACTGAGGACCCTGTTTGGAAATTAGAAGCCCTTGAAGAATTACGCAAAATTAAGAAACAGTTAAACTTACTCTTCTGAATTTGAAACAATTGTTATAAAATTTTGGACAACTTAAACCTTTTGAAAGATACTTTTTGTCTATTAAATTAATCTTTCCAATAAATAATCTGCAGTTTTGAGTCACCAACCATCAACTGAATCTCTTATCACTTACATTATCAAAAAGTTACAACAGGTACATTCAAACACTCTGGTTGGTTTTTCACAAACTGTTTATACACTATAACTACTCTCCACAGTGATATCACCACAAGATTCTTGATTATTGTCTCCTGAGGATAAAAAGACTTAGTTTAATAATTCCTTAACTACTTCTATAGTTAGTTCCTCTGTAAACTCTACTTCATCTGGAAAAAAAAGAAAAACTACCATTCCTAAATCACCAGTACGAACATCTCAAAATATTAAACAAAAGCAAAAGTCAAGTATCTCTAATCAAAATATAAATGAAAGTTTCTTGTCTGCAGTTAATATATATCTACTACTATTTTCAGCTACTATAAAGCTATTAGAGAAAGAAAAAGATTTTAA